AGGCGGATGTGGATGGGACCAAGCCGTGAGTGCTTGGACGGTGCTGTCGTGGTCCGCGATAAACTTCATCAGGGTCGATTTTCCCGAGCCTGGCTTGCCAGATATCCAAAAGGTGCCGTTGCCGTGCTTCAGCCAAGCAATCAAGTTGCCGCAGCCGGTGACCGTCCGCGTGCTGGTGTTGTGGCTGTCCTCCTTGAAGACCCATTCAAATGTTTCGCGGTGGGCTTCCCGGACAGCGCTATGCCGTGCCGGGAGGCTATCAAATGCAATACTCTTGAGGATGTGGTGCTCCTTGGCCACGTCGGTGGTTGACACGGAGAGCTGAGACATCTTGCTCTGGATAAAGACAAGGTCGTCGGCGATCAGTGGCTTCTCCGCAACCTGGGTAGCCACTGCAATTCGCGAACTCAGTTCATGGAATGTTTGAGCCATGGCATCTAGCTTGGCAGACCTCTCTAAGTCCAGGAGCATGCTCTCTTTGAGGAGCTCCTTGAGCTGCTGTTGATAGTGGTGCTGCCAGGAACTGAAGCAGCATCTTGATTAGATTCATGTGCAGGGCAGTGCTTCTGAGATGATGCAGCCGGTACTCGCCTTGTCAGCCCATTTACTTGCAGCGCCAGCGTCGTCTGGATGTGATGCAGCCGCTGCTCGAGGTTTGCGATATCGCTGCTCTTCCCGACCGTCTTCATGGCCAGCCGGAAGCTCTGCCAGTGGCTCTTGGCCCCGTTCCCGCGTTTGAGGGTGTGGACAATGCCCAAGAGGCTGCCACAGTCCTCCATGCACAGCCGCGCCAGGTCTTTGATAGCCAAAAACTGCGCCAGGACGTGGATGTCAAGCTGCGCTTCAAGCAGCGCGTCTCGCTGCGACGCCCGGACAAGTTCCGCGCTGTAGCGCCCCAGCTCCCCGTACACTGTCTCGAGCGTGGCGACTTGTCGGGTCGAGCCGCTTGCGGACGCGTAGATCTCCCTGGTATTTGAAATCAGCCCGGAGGCGAAGCCTACAAACTGCATGATGCTCGCCGAGAGCCCAAAGACTGTCACGGGATCCATGGTTGCGCACGATTCAGTTTGAGTAGGCCAGCTTGGCTCGTGACGGAAGGGACTGTCGTCAGGCCGTCGGTGCCATCTCTAGATGGAAGGCAGCTGGTGGTCGAGTGAAGGCGAGGCTCCAGAGCGGGCAAGCACAGCCCACCACATGTTTTGGGCCAGACAGCAACCACCTCAGTTTCACGTGATAATAACAAGCAATCATTGGACGCTACTCAATATGATTTATTTCGCTTTCTGGTACTCCGTACCGTGCCCAAGAGGGCAACCAGTCGCTAGACGTGACGGAACGGAAAGCAAACCACATCCCCTTCCAAAGCAAGCCATCTTACACACCAATGTCAAGCTGTCACGCGTGCTTGACCCATTCCATCTGCAGTATCGCCCTCAGCTCGCCAATCATGATTTTCCGAAAGATTTTGCTGTTTTTCCGAATCACAATCGCGAGCAGGACGTAATACTTCATGGCGTAGACGGCGTTCCGGCCGTCAAAGTCGGCTCTGGGCGCGGATATTGGCACCAAGTTCTGGTACTCGTCGATGCACGGCTTTCCCAGCTTGTACCGCGGATTCCGGCACACGCCGAGGTCAGCTAGACAGGTCAGCATAGCGCAGACTTCAGGGGCTCCTGCGAGAGGAGCAACAAACCTTCGTTGTGCCCCCAGTACGCACAGGCGTCAAAGATACACAGATCACCACCCGACGCGGCCGTTAACAGCCGCACATTCCCCAGGCACAGGTCCGAGTGCAGCAGGCAGGGCACGACGGACCGGCCGTTGCGCTCCAGCGGGCCCAGGTACCGCGGGATGGCCTTCTCAAAGTAGGCCTTACGGAGGCGTGTCAGCTCCTCGTCGGGGCCGTTGAGGCGCTCCTCCCGCTCGAACAGGCCGCGCATCTGCTGCGCCCAGAAGGCCTCCCACGACGCGTTCCACGTGTTGTCGACGGGCACGTCGGCCAGGAACGTCGGTACGCCAAACCCGAAGTGGTTTGGGACCGGCGACTTGCCCATGCTCTGCAGGTGCAGTTTTGCTACAGCTGATGCCCAGTCGTACGGCGGCGGCGGGATCTCCTGGCTGAGCATGTGCGCGAACTCGCACAGATAGAAGTGCCTGTCGGGGTCGGCCGCGAACGAGCCCCGTGCTATCGGCCGCGGCACCTGCACCGGCAGGAACGCCGCCACGGCCGTCTCCGACTCGAACGCCGAGTCCATCAGCGCAGCCCCGCCGGCTCCGGCGGCGCTCTGTGGACGCCGCGTCAGCGGTGCTTCCGGACAGGACGGAGCTTTGGTTGTGACGTGTGCATACCTTCATGAAGAACTCGGCCGTCGTCTCGCCATCCTCGAGCTGGACAACAATCTTGACCGCCTCGATTGGAGTCTCGGGCTTTTTCTCTATCGCCAGCACGGTGGCCTCGAGGACTGCTTTGTGGGGTGGGAGTTCTGCCACGCATGATATCAGTCAACGTGCCCAGGAGTCGAAGTGGCGATGGGGAAGGCACAGCACTGACGGGCGATGACGTTCGGGTCGAGCTGCACCTGTGCGCCGCCCGCGCAACTGTCCAAAACGTCCGACATGCTGAGGACGCTCGTGGAGGATCAATCCTGGCAATGGAACGACAGGAGCATGAGCAGAGAGGCGGAGAAAAAAAAATGAAATTGCAGTAATTAATGCGGGTGGAGCGGGTGCAAGCGGAAGGTTTAGCAGCGTGATGCTTGCAGCGTGCGCCGCGCAGAGGAAGGAAACGGGAAAAGCGTGCAAACGAACGCAGTGCCTTTTATTGGGCCCCCAAAAAAAACAGCAGCAGGCACGGCCGGGTTCCTAGCGGGCAAGACCGTTCGTTGGGTGTTAGCTTAACTGTGAGACACGTCGGCGGTCTACGTGTCGGGTGGGCGGGTGTCGTCCGGCCCGGCCCGGCCCGGCCCCGGCCCGCGGGACGCCACGTCCGCACGTCGGCCGCTTCTCCAACAACTGATGACTGCAGCGGCGCAGCACGCCACCTCGGCTCTCGGCCCACTGCAAGTTGGCGGACTGCTTTCCCGGTCGGGCCTGGTGCGGCTTTTGGTTGCCGGGCAATTGAATTCGCGAATGAGAGAATGCGTTGAAAAACTTGATCTGAGCATATCTCGGATGCAAGTCGCCGTGCTCGCGGATTGCACGTATTGACAGATTTGGAGGATTCCAGAACCTGAACGACTGGTGCCGTGATCACATGCGCTCGCTCACTGGGTGAAGGCGTGCAAGGGCTGGCTAAGATGAACTTAGATTCCCGGCTGTTTGCCTTTGGAAGTAAAGAAGAAAAAGGCTGAAGCAGGTAGACCGGATTACCAACTGCAAAATGGATCACACCAAAGTGGCAAGAGATACCTTTGCACCCCGCGAAACTGGACGGTCTACGAAAAAATGAGGATTAGGTTCAGCAATCAGACTATTGAGCGCATTGGACAGAAGAATACCTGCAAGAGACAGATCCAGATGGAACGGCGTGTCCTTGCTTTCAGCGGGAGAAAGAGTACACCTGGCCTGGACGATCTGGCACGGGCAGAGAATGAAGGAGCAAAGGCAGGTCTGTGAATCTGCTGCGGGAAACTCAAAAAGTGCTTGACTAGAACTGATGCTAACCTGCCAGCAGCCTCTTATTGAAAACAAGGTCTCGCAACTTCAAACTTAGGCTAGATTAGGCAGCATGTTTCTCTTTGTCTGGAAACAAGCAATTATCTGTACTCTGTTTTTTTCCACCCATGCTTTTTGTTCAACAGAATTCGGATATATAGCGGAGGAGAGCCGTGGTCCGTCTTACTGACCTTGCAGGCTCGGCAACCGATCTTGCGACTCTCTCTTGCACCGTCCAGTGTGCCACCACAGCAGACTTCTCCATGGCCGCGGCCTCGAGCCAGAAGATCGCCCTGCGACCCTTTCGATTCTTGAGCCTTCCTCCCGAAGTCCGGAACATCATCTACGAATACTACCTTGCACCACAAAGTGGGTGGATTTTGACAAGATCGAGTACGTAACGGAATATTTGCAGACAAGTATTCAGCATATCGAGCGCCTTCCCGATTTGGTGCGCACGTGCAAGCAGCTATACCGAGAGATGCGGACACAAGTCCACCACGAGTTGGCGGTGTACCCACGGTCTACCCAAATCCTCAACTATGCTCATCACGGCAACTTGATGCTGGGACGGGTAAATACGCTGCACGTATATTGGGACCATGACAGTGGTCGCGAGCCAAACAGTTACGGACACGGATACGTCACTGCGTGGCGCGAATCCATTTGTATTGCCGAAATACCCAAGTTTGAATCCATCGCGGCTCGAGAGCTTTTTATCAGATGGGCACCCCGACAACAGCGCCCGCCGGCATGGTCCCGGGTGGTGCCTGACGGTCAGACACACAGACGCGGACTGCCGTTCTTCATCAAGTGCCTGCTTCGTGAAATGAGGGACCTCAAAGTCTTCCGGCTACCAGGAAGGATCCCGCCTCATGTTGCTGAAATGGTTCGGAAGATCACGGATGGCCGGGTCATCTGTCAGCCATACATGCAGAGAGCGTGAACTGCTCATACACGGCATGCGCAGCACAGAGTTCGACCGCGTCGTTGTCTGCCAGGCACGGAAACAAGGAGAAGGGGGGTCGGGAACAAGGAGAGAACCGAGGCCGGAGAGAAGACAGGAGGCCTCATGTTCACAGGCAACTTAGTGGCTTTTGCACGGCATGTCTGTTCAAGTGGATGGGAAACCAAGGGGCAAATATGTAATTAAGTCTTTACCAAGCATGGCGCAGGAGCACGCGTGGTTTTCATACATCAGCATCTGCCCAAACCAAGACGGACAACATAGACAAAGGTAGTCAATAAAGGAAAAAGAAAAAAGAAATTATGTTTCCAATGACCCTGACCCGATTTGAACCTGTTGATAACATGTTAGCGCCGTGATACCGATGTGTGTGTGAGTGTGCGCGTGGAGACAATCGTACGGATAACCTTCCGATCTGGAGTCGAACGCGCTACCGTTGCGCCACAAGGCCTGTTGCTCTTTGTTGGAGTCGATGCGTTTAATCTCTCGTCTTGTCCTACTCTCAATCACGTGCGGGCGGTGCGGGATATTTAGCCGAGTGGACTCTGGATGGCCGAAGGTCGGGGGGGTTTTGGGAAAGGGCATGTCTGGTGTAAGTGACAAGCAATTCTTTCCATTACGGTAGGTTACAAGAGCTTCAGCGGCGAAGATTTCGGTTTGAGGTTACTTGGATGCTCAATCTCTTTATAAACATGAATTTCTTCAGTCTCGAGGCGCTTGCTTCTCGTAATCATGCTGCAAGGCTAGCTGCGGCAGCCACTGCCATCACATTGCGTTGGGCAAGATTCAAGCGCTCTATGAGTTTGATAGGAACTAGCATCAGGCAAAGAAAAAGGTAGATCAGCATTGCTACAAACTCGACACGGCTAGGAAGGGCGCATCTATCTATTCTTCTTCAATACCTCCTTTAAAACCTGTAACATCCTGCCGTGCACGCCCCTCTTAGCCGCTATGACTCCACAGCTCAGCGCAAGCTCCCTTCCAGCACCAAAGTCAATGGCCTGCCCATTCAAGTCTGTGACAGTGCAACCAGCCTCGGCTAAGATGAGCAGCAGGCAGGCATGATCCCGGATATACACATGGCTCGGTTTCGGCCCTCCTGGAAATTCTCAGTTGTATATCCCCGCCGCCGAGAACAAGTGCCACGTATCTCATGTGCGAAGACCAAAGATTTGTCCCAGGGTACACTGCACCAACTTGAGCTGCAATATCGCGCAGCCTCTGTTGCCGCCAGACGTTCCCCTTGGAAGTACCCAATATATGCAACATACTCAAGTCCGTAGGTCCATCTCCTATGGCTAGCAACTCTATAGCAGGCCGCAATACCCCCGTGCCCATCGAGCATATCTAGACGCCCTGCTCCCGCACGGCCGAAAGCATCACGCCGTATTCCTCCTCATCAACAACAGCCTCCTCGATCCTTGAGGTGCAAGTCGGTAAGTTCGGGCAACCGACTACGCCGACTTTCTCTATTGCGTCCTCGGTTAAAGCTAGGGAGACAGCATATTGCTGGCCTTGAAGGAAAGTAGCTGTCCCGTCGAGCGGATCCATCATCCAAATGCGGCCTTTGCGCCCGCCCATTCCCCGGCCGCCAGAGTCAATGTCGTCGAGCATTGCGCCAATTGAAGACGGGCGTGCCAGCAGCGCCTTGCTCTTGTCATCGTCTAGCCGAACGGATGCGACAAGGTCCCAGACGTGCTGGCGAAGCTCAGCGTTGCCGCGAAGCGCATCAGCATTCTCCTCACCAATAAACTGGTCCAAGGGGAACGCGCCACGCACAGCGCGAATTAGCAATGCTTGCGCAGCAAAGTCGGCGATCGTTACAGGGGTGTCATCTGACTTGGCGAATTCGCCGCGGGCTACTGATTGAAGGACTTGCTTGGTGAGGAGCGAGGCACGCTGAACGGCCAGCTCGGCGATGAGACGCTCGTGCGAATATGGTGCCAAGGACATGGCTGTGTGCAGTTAAGCCAAGGCTGTTGGTAGGCCTTCCGATTTTGAATCCTAGAACTAGATTGTTGCGGCGGTTGCGGTGGTTGCGATGCGGGATAAAAGAAGTTGCTGGCGATCAATCGGCTAGTGACGCTGGGAGCCTGAGTCGCCAGACACCGTACTTTGTCCGACACCGCGCTGCACACTAAGATTGGTCACGGGTCCTGTAGCAACCAAGTGATCCCATACCTGCAGCGTGTTTGCATTCGGAAATTTCCGACCTCGAAGGGTTACTAAATTAAATAGGTAACGTTACTAGAAATAATGCGACACTAATTAACAGTTATCAAGGATGAAATTCTCATAGCTCAAAGCTTGCTACCTAGCCACTCAACTCCTTTACGAAGTACTTACAGTCAAAGCAGTCTAGACCTTACCCACTAACAGCATAACAACATGCTGACTACTCGATGGCAGACAAACCCACTGACATATCTTTCTCTCTCAACATCCTCGCCGACACAGCTCCATACCCACTCATCAGCATGCTATGAACCCATCTTCCCGTCCTGAACTCTCCATTGAACAGGAAGTACATGGTGAAAGTCAGGAGACTAAGGGGCAGCGAAACGGCAAAATAGACCCAGAACATCTCTCCTCCAGGCCCATATGGGTTTGGCACCCCAAAGAGCGAGGCTACAAGCCCAAGCGGGATAAAGACGAGCCCAACAAATGTTAGCGCCTTCATACTCCTCGCCTCCTGGCGCGAGAGCGTCTGTTCTACCGACGCATGTCGGTTCCCAGAGATTCCTGCCAGTCCCGTGATCGATGAGCTGAGCACTTCAGCCTGGTGCCGAATGTCCCGGTAGCGCATGAGGAGGTAGCTAAAGTCGGCGCCGATATCTGCCCAGCCTACTGGGGCCGCCGCATCCGGCTGTTGACGTGGTGGCATCCTGCACTGCATAGTGATAGACTCTATGGCAATAACCCAGTCAGTCAGTCGCCACTGGAGAGCCTGTGTGTCGCTCCACTGCATCTCGATCGCGTCGGTTGTGAAGATGTCGAGCTTATACAGGTGCGACATGCGATGATGGATTGTATAGATCTGGGCTTGGAGGAACTCAGAGTGCTTGCGGAAGTGGCTGGCGATGATTTTCTGGCAGACGAGGAGGATTGAGTCTGGGTCGTCGGGATCCAAGAGCTTATGGTGCTCGACAATGTAGAAGCAGAGGTCTTCTAGCATGGAAGTTCGAGGCGGGCCCTTGCCTGCACGGAGCTGATCCGCAAAAGGGACGAAATCGAGATAGCCACCCTGGAAGAGAGTGCGCATGACAGGGATGGGCTTCGGATCGTGGGCAAGCCGGGCATTTTTCAGGGGCGGATCGGTCACGACGACACCTGCCATCCCGCTTAGTCAAAGCCGTTCAAAATCAAGAACAAGACGATACCTACAATCCCAACCCCGCTCATCCCCTGCCCTCCGCCGTCTCCATACCGAGCACTTCCGCGATGAGATGTAAACATTGGAGAATTCCCCTAGGGTCCGCGTTGCGCTAATAAGCCGGCCCGTCTCGGCGCAGACGATTTTATTCTTGCCGTGGATATTTCCCTCGAGGCAAATCGGCTCTGCATAAGGTAGGATTACATGTTCTTGGGTAGCAGTAGATGTCGGAAGAGCTATGCTGTCGTTTTCCAGACTCGAATCAATACTTGGCGGCGTGACCCGGTCGTGCTGCGCGAAGAGGGCCGGAGGGATGCTGAAGTGGGCTCCCAGAAGACCGATAAAGTCCCGATCCATCGCTTCCAGAATTATGACACAGCTGTTTGCCTCGCATGGTGTTCCTCTCAGATAGGTCTTGAAGCCTGCCGGGTCGTGGAAGTAGATAGGACCCCGGTATGCGCCATCAGGTGACGATTCAATAACGGCGACTTTGCCATTTCCTGGTCTTGGTGGCCATGGGCTCCGGGACGTCGCTTTTGGATCTCTTTGTCTAAGGCGTGGGTCGAAACCACAAAGACGCTTAATGAATCGTTGGTATTCCTCGTTGCCAGTAAGCCATTCGCCGCTGCGATCCATCTTGGACACTGTATCATGAGCTGGAGGGGCCTGGAAGACCAACCGTCAAGGCGAGAATGGTCACGGGTTTTAGATAGCAGACGCGTTGGTACAGATCAAAAGAGGGGAATGTGAGAGAACTATTGGAAAGCTTGCACCAAAGAAGGCCAAAAATCGGTCAAACGTAACACTCTAATTATGTGCATACGGGACAGAGGGCAGTCAACCTACCACAACAGTGTGTAACCCCAACTGCAAGACCAACTGTTAGGCAAACAAGGGCGGCAGTAGGGTGAGTGGCCGTAAGGCATTCGTGAGGATTACGTGACTCGCGAGCGGAACCAAGGCACTAGCATGAAGCATAGTGTAAGAATGTACCCAATCATAGAATTTAGGTAGCCGCCATAGATAGAACCAACAAGCGGGCCTACAGGTACTAAGGCCAGTCTTCCTCAGGCACAAATAGGCCTTGCTCCCGCAATAGGTTTTGTGAGGAAGCAGGGACCTTGAGGCTAAAGAAGATTATTACGTACCAGCACTTCGCTCCAGGCCATCTTGCCCTAAAGGCAGATCCCCTCGTCATATTCTGTCTGCTCTCTCAAGGTAAGTCCTAGGGACTTGCTAGCGGGGGACCCTCTTTTACCCTGTAAATTGAGGGGTTTCCTAGGCTAGGCCCAAAAGGTGCATAAGCCTCACAGGTCGGACACCCAATGAAATCCGCCTTTGCCCGCGCCTTGCAAATCCAACAAGAACCTAAAGGCTTCAAATCGAGCAGCATTGAAAAGTGCCCCGCAGCCCAATTCGCGGTGGCGCGTGGAGGGGTGTGAACGCCGAAAGGATATTAGGCTGTGGCCCGTGCGTAACCCTACTACGTGACCCACACCTCGGCCTACTTCCCTACGCCTTGACCGAGCCTTGAGAGCTTTCCTTTCCTTTTTCTTTCCTTAGCTTTAGATTCTACGAATTTAGCGATTATTCCTGCAGCCCTGTCTCTTTAGGTCGACTGAGCCATGAGGCCCACCCGACATGTGCTTATTGAGGCAGCCTAGACTGCTGAAACTTGAGGCCACACGCCCGCCAAAAACAGCAGTCCAAACCACTGCACATATAGACTAGTCTGGATGGAAGAAACGCCCGTCTTGACTAGACCTGGTAGAATTTGGCTTAAACCAAGTTTGATTTCACGTGACCCAAATGCCTTGGAATTGATAAAGCAGTTGCAGACACTATCCTTTGTTGTTAGAATATTTGCAAGAATATGAATTGCTCCAGATTTTTGGAGTTTCCAACGAGACAGCGCCAAGCCGCCACCTTGGCGATCATTCACATTCCAACCCTCGTCGTCTGAACATGCTTCGGTCAATGCAATCCTTTTCTCAACCAACTCACTGTCCAGACTTTCGGCAACAGTCGACATGTCAGGCAGCACACTCGAGGTTGGCAATCCACCCCCTTTCTCTGG